TTGAAGCCTACGTGGTACTCTTGGCGGAAGGAAATGGGGGCCGAGATGGGTGTGTCATTTCCTGGAGAAGAGGTGAATCGGGCTGAGACAGCCCCCACCTTTTTCTTGAACCAGCCTCCGTCCATTGTGTGTGCTGTTAAGAAGTCCTAGATCTCTCGTTCTCCAATTGATGCAGGATGGGGTTGATACGGAGACGACGACGACACGTGGTCCTTCCTCTGCCCAAGATGAATCCGCCAGAGTAACTTGCCACCCTCGCCCCCTAATCTCTTCTTCGCTGTTCGATGTGGCTTCTCTGATCGACAAGAGCCTGGCGCTGAACAGGTGAGTCTGTTGGCCGTTGTTCTTCCTGTCCCCTGAGTAATTAATTGATGTCGAGAATGTCAGGAATGATGTAGCTTTTCTTCTTCAACAATCGGCATTCAAAAAATGTACAAACCAACGCCCCGATCATTCCACACATTCCTCTCTGGCCGCAGATCGTTGCATTCACTTCTAAAGCTCCTGCGGCTTCGGTCTGCGGCAACGGCGGCGCCAGTGTGCCGTCGCCAGCACCACACCAAGAAAGGACTGGCAGAGCAAGAGAGGGGTCAGGAGGCCCAGCGTCTCTGTCTACGGATGGTGTCATACAGCGCTCGCTGTGGTGGTGGGGAATGAGCTCACATTAGCATAGGTCCGAAGCCTTCCGCCTCAGTGCGATGTGACACCAACGCCGGAGCCACGACAACCGCGGGAAACTCCACATTCTGGAAGAAACCACCATCGAGGAGCAGAAAGAAGGCAACGTTGAGTGGTGGTACCTCCTTAGGGTGTGGCCGCGTCCAAGGCGCCGAGGCCGCGTAGACCAACATGACCAGAACAAGCTGACACGATACCCACACCGCGATCAACGTGAACTGCCACAACTCCACTTTGCTGTAAAATGCCTACGGGGCGGTGGGCTCCGGCCGTCAGCATTGACCGAACCAAGACTCACCCAGCCCAGCGCCAGAGGTGACCACGTACATCGAAGAAGAGGTGGGCGTTGGCCGGGAAGGTGACGAGGACGACGAACGTGAGCAACCAGCCGGCGGGCCGGCGGAGGTGCGGCATGAGGAGGCCCACGCCCGCCGCGCACTGGCAGAAGCCCACCACGCCGATGAGGAGGAAGGAGAAGGGCAGGTAGGGCGGGATGGCTTGGTGGAACTGCTCCGGGAAGAACAGGTGCACCATCGACGTGCCCACGCTCGCCAGGCCAAGGACCCACGCCAGCCCTCCTCTGTTTGTTTTTGTTTTTTTGTTAAGTAATTAATTCAATTTATTTATTTATAATTATAAATCAATATTATAAATAAAGAAAGAACGGGGGTGGAGTACTGGAACGAGGGCTGGCAAGAATGCTGACAGCAACGGAAGGAGCGAAAGAGGGATTGAGTCGTCGCCTCATTGCTGCCGTAGAAGCTGGCGTCGTCTGCTACATAATCAAAAGACAGCTCTCGCTCCTTTCGCATCTCTCTTGCCAAAATATAAATAAAATAAAATACGAAAATAGAAAGAAACCAAGTTTACTCTCAACATTTCCTTTTCAACACGAAATCAACAAGTGCACGAGTGCATCTGCTCACGAAAGGAGTCGTTCAAGATCATCATCATCATGGATGAAATTGTACGCATCGCCACCCCCTCTATAAAGAATCGTGTTTAAATGTTGTTGGGCAGTCAATTTCTTCGTGTTTTACGCGATTTGATGAAGGCGTGATCATTGACTGGGATAAAATATGCAACGCGGCACACAACAGCTGGCGCTTCAAGAGGAGCTGAGGAAGCTGCAGGAGCAGAGCTCCATCCACCGCCTCTCCGAGCGCAACTGCGTCGAACTCATCATGCGCCTCGTCAAACTGGGCAAGCTCACCGTACGCCTCCTCTACGCGCAATTACCCTCACCCTCACCCTCGTCGCGTCGAGCGAGCTCTTCGTCTCAAGTCGCGTGTGCTGTGTGCGGTGTGTGTCGTGTGTCGTGCGCGTGTGCAGGTTTACTTTACGCAAGACGGCAAGGAGTACGTCACGCCGGAGCAGCTGGAGAGCGAGATACGCGACGAGCTGATGCAGCACGGCGGCAAGGTGGGCGTGCTCAACCTGCCCACGCTACTCAACATCGATCTCAACCACATCGAAGCCCGGCTCGCCGAGATGCTCAAGCGCGACAAGCGCCTGCAGATCATGAACGGTGAGGTCATGACCAAGTATGTACACCTGCGCCGGTCGCCAGTCATTATCAAGACTGCTCTAACGTCGTGTTGTGTGTGTGTGTGTGTGTGGTTAGGTACTACTTGGATGGCGTGGCGCAGGAGATCAACGAAGCCCTGGCCGAGTCGGGCCAGATCATCCTGACCGAGCTTGCGCCTCGCTTCAGTCTCACTACGGACTTCGTAGTGCAGGTACCTATGCGACACACACACACGACACACGACACACACACCCCACACACTCACGCTGATCGTGTATTATGTGTGTACTGTCGACGCCGATAGATCGTGCAAGAGCGATTGGGGCGAACCATCAAGGGCCAGCTGGAGCAGGGCGTGCTCTACACCCACCTCTTCATCGACCGCTGCAAGGCCCAGATGCGTGCCGCATTCTCAGCCATCACACGGTACGCGCACACTCTGCAGCCTGGGCCTGCGCGCACACTGACCATTTCGGCGCACACTCGCACTCCCTCGACCGGTCTCCTGCAGGCCCACGCCGATCTCGCAGATTGTGTCGACCTATTCGTTCAACGAGCGCCTGTTCTATGGTAAGTCGTTCACAATTTCAGTTAAACACAACTTGAAAGAAGTTGGGCGCAATGAAACGAAACTGACGTGTGGTAATAACAAATTCAAGCGTCGCTGGACGAGATCAAGAACGAGCCGCGCTTCGCGGGCGTCATTGACAGAGGCAC